GCTCGCTGCTACCCTTTTCCTGCTCGTCTATCCAGTCGGACACAGCTTTGAGTGCCCGCTCCGTGTGGGACACCATGTTCTGGACTGCCTCCAGCTCCTCTTGCGTTGGATAAACGGAAGAATGCTTTGCCATTACATGGCGGTCATCATTCACAAAAATTCGCATTGGACGCTAGGGATGTGAGAATTAAGTTAAAAATGATGTAAAGAGAGCAAGCAGCCCAACGTCCATCTTTTAAGCTGCACAATTCAGAGTGATGCTATATCGCTTGTGTGTAAAAACCAAGCCTGCAGGAGCACAATTGAAGGACCAAGGAGGAACAAGCAAACTGAAACAGCTGTTGTGTCTGGGCAGTGGGAGACAGAATGGAATACAGAATAGATAATACTACTTTATAATCCAAAAGGGCTAATAAAAATGGTAATGGAATCAAATGCTTTGGAAAAGGTTACAAACATCTCTGTACGTGAGTGAAGAAATAGTATCTGTGATCAAAAACTTACCATTTTTACTTCTGTAGTGTCTGGAAATCAAACTTTTGCTTATCTTTTCAAATCGTGATAGATTTCCTTGGTGTTATCAATACTTCAGCTCTATAAGATCAGAAAATCTTTTTAGTTTCATATAACTTATAGTAGGATTCATTTTAGCAGCCAGGTACACAGTAGCAAGAATGACATGTGTGCTGCCTCATGAAGGGCCTGTCAACACAGCAGAACACATCTTTATTTCCAAGTAATCACTGCTAAGCCAAGGCATTAACTACGTAACACCCTAAAAATGAAAACAGATGGTTTCAAGAAATCTGATTTGACTTCAGGCCTACAGACACTCAGATGGTATTTTACTTTCTTTTTTATCTTCCTTTACATAAATATGCCCATTTTTACAAGTATGAAAATATTAACAGGTCTCCAAAAAACACTACAGGTAGAAATGCTCACATCAGGCTAGGCACAGTGGCTCACGCCTGTAATCCCGCCACTTCAGGAGGCCGAGGAGGGTGGATCACTTGAGGTCAGGAGTTTGAGACCAGCCTGGCCAATATGACAAAACCGTATCTCTACCAAAAATACAAAAATTGGCTGGGCATGGTGGGCGCCTGTAGTCCCAGCTACTTGGGAGGCTGAGGCACAAGTATCGCTTGAGCCCAGGAAATGGAGGCTGCAGTGAGCAGAGATCACACCACTGCACTCCAGCACGGGTGGCAGAGCAAGACTTCATCTCAAAAAAAAAAAAGTTCACATCAAAATCTTGGTGCTTGGAGAAGGAAAAGAGAGGGAAGGAGCTCTAATCTCTGACAGTAATGAAGAGATGGAAGAAAGACATGTGGCAAAGGGTCCCAAAAGGTTTCTGTAAAATGAGAAAGAACGAACCTCCCGAAAAGTGAGTTATCTGAAATACCAGGTGGACGACGACAACCACAGCAGCTTCAACTCTGAAGAGGCTAAGACAACTGAAGTGCACAACAGAATCTTTCAGGACAAACTAAGCCATAATTACTATTTCAGTCTCAGTATCATGTAGACTCCAACCTACTCAATTCCCACTCTACACAAACAGTCTGGTCCATACTGAAATCTTCCAAATGAGTAAACAACCAAAGAACCCCATCAGCACAATACACACAAGATGAATCTACCCCCACAGGCAACTGCCAGCCCCTTCCGACTAAACTAGTTCCCAGCCAGCAGAGCAGGCTCAAACCTGAAAAGGCCCAAGCATCAAGGATAAATTCTGACATGCTGGCCAAAACAAGAACTTCCCAAAATACCCAAGACTACCTAGCAAAATCTAACTGCAAAATCTAAACATCCCAAACTTAAAAACCTAAGGGTGCTTCAGTGAGGTGGCTCACGCCTGTAATCCCATCACTTTGGGAGGCCGAGG